CTATTACACTACCCATGGACATTTCATTTAACCCTCGCCGGCACAGGGGGGGGGGGGGGTTGATGCAACCCCCCCTAAGGTTTTTCGCGAATAACTCGCGTAAAAAGCGGCCGATCGCGACGACACTTTCAGTACCCTCGCATTGATCAATTTTACACCTACCTTGAAAATTTCATGACCCTGACTCCAATGACCTTTGACCTGTGACCTCTTTTCTGTGACCATGTTTGGCCGAAATCGCGGTTCGGCGCATGTCGGCTCGCATTAGCCGTGCGTTTGCAAGCTTTTCGTGGTTTCAAACGTTCAAACAAGTGATTTGATGTTGCTCCCATGCATTAGGGTGGGTGTCAAGGTCACCTGAGGGTCAGGTCAGGTCATTGACCTTTGGTGACCTTGGGTGACCTCGGTTCACTTTTTCGAGTTTTACATGTTTCTAGGCTAGTTTTTGGAGCTGAATTCGAATTTAGCAACCATTTGAACATTTACGAAGTAGTTTTGGTGCCTTCGTAACATGTTACGAAGCTGTCCGAGGCGGTTGACACGTATTACGAATACCCGTCACAACCCCTACCGGTTGACCTGACCTGATCTGACCCGACCTGGTCTAAATGCTTAAAGACATCATCTCTGATCAAAACTAACACGATATTCGTGATCAGCACCCCGGAAAACCACATAGCAGCCACACTTTACGACTTTCTAACAGGTCCCGATTTTCCCGGTTTTCGGGTCATTGACCTGACCTGGAAGGTCAACCGATGACCTAGGACCTTAAAATTGGGTATCATCGGCTTCGTCTCGTGACGGGCAACACGCTCGTTTTTTCCGCGAAGCTCTAGCTCGATCAGGGGCCAAACGCGAGGGGGGGTCGTACCAACCCCCCCCCCCCCTTGTGCCGTCGAAGGACTCAAAATGGCCTGTGCCGGCGAGGGTTAATTTAATTTCATTTATTCACCATTTCAGCCACGGGACATGCCCACTTACGGCCAAAGTCACAGCACATTGGACACTGCAGTCGCCAGTCACCGCGCCGTTAGGCGTTAGGGCGGGTCACGAGAGGACTTTTTCGGCGATACAAAATGAAGAGCAAAATTCCTACGGATCATATCACAACTAAGCTATGATTGAGGATTTATGATTAAGATATAAATATTGCATAAAGTATACCTAGTGCACACTGCATAGCTCACTCATCACTGTTCTTTCTTCGCTGTCAAGAGTGTGAGCCGTGAGGACGATGATATGTTCGCTCAATATACCCTGGATGATATGCCTGCCAACATTCCTGTTTGTCCTTGCATGTTCGACTGGAACTTGTTGAAGCTCACTGGACCAGACTAAAACAGCTTGCTGACCGCACCCTTCTTTTCCTCCTGGTGAAATATTCATCTGAACGCCGTGCGCCGTGACGAACGTTACTTTCCCACGCGGTGAGGCCGCAGTTTGGTATCAGCCCGCTCTCTTTGTCCTCCGTTCGGCCTTAGCGGCACATTCTGAGCGTTCATCCCGACCAACGGAGCGTTCCGGGGGCTGGTCGGCTCAGGGTCGGGCGGCCGGCGCCTTGCCCCGCGGCGCTGTGGGCCGCACCGCGGACCCCTCACCCTGCCTCCCCCCCAACGGAGGAGGAACAGGGCTGCCACGGCCAGGGCGGGGCGGAGCCACCGCATGCTGGGTGAGACGGAAGGGTAGCTGCGTCATATGGCTAGGGACTAGGCTGGGAGGCTTACCAGTTACCATACATAGTTTCGGGCGTGACAGATTGTTTGCCTCTCTGTCAAGGAAAGCTTTTGGTTGTTATTTGAATAGCGCTATCTTTTGAAAAAAAAATAGTTCAATTACCTAACACTGCACTCAAAACCTTACCGTTCTATTAGGTACAGTTGACCTTTGATGACCTCGGTTCATTTTTTCGAGTTTTATATGTTTCTAGGCCAGTTTTTGGAGCTGAATTCGAATTTAGCAGCCATATGAATATTTACGAAGTAGTTTTGGTGCCTTTGTAACATGTTACGAAGCTGTCAGAGGCGGTTGACACCTACTACGAATACCCGGCAGGACCCCTACTGGTTGACCTGACCTGACCTGACCCAACCTGGCCTAAATGCATGAAGACATCATCTGTGATCAAAACTAACATGATATTCGTGATCACTGATCAGCACCCCGAAAAACCCCACAGCCACAGTTTACGACGTTCTAACAGGTCCCGATTTTCTCGACTTTTGGACCATTGACCTGACCTGGAAGGTCAACCAATGACCTAGGATTTTAAAATTGGGTATCATCGGCTTCCTATTGTCACGGGCAGCACGCTCGTTTTTTTTCCGCGAAGCTCTAGCTCGATTAGGGGCGAAACGGCAAGGGGGAGGGGGTCCAACGGCCCCCCCCCCCCTCTTATACGTTCGCGGCTGGAAAAAAACACCAATACGGGCGAGGGTTAAAGGTACGTGCATAAGAACAAAGAGAGACAGACCTTTATAGGTGGCACTCAGTTTTTTTTCGTGTTGAAACAGCTTTTAGGATTTACAAGAGTCAAAAAAGTTACCCCGGGCTGGCTAAAAGTTACCCCGGCCACGGCCGGCGGGTGGCCGGGGCAGGTTCTCCATCCATGGACCTGACCTTTGACGTCAATGTCATCGGTGACATAGGCGGCGGAACGGGGAGGGCACCGGGGCACCGTGCCCCCCTTTGACTTTGGCATTTTAACATTAGCCCTATGGGCGTTGCATGGAAAGAATGGAACCGAAAGTCGGCAGTGCCCCCCCCCTTCATTGAAGGTGTTCCGCCACTACTGATCGGTGACCTCGAGGTCAATGAAAATATGTTTCGCTCGACGGCGTTTCCAGGGCTATCAGACGCCGTTTAAATTTTGACGATCGGCCCAGTAGTTTCGGAGTCACTCGCCTTTTGGAAATTTCCCCAGTCACTGCGGGATAATAAGCTAATGCTGAGCATACCCAATGATGCCCTTCGATTCGGCATAGGGCAATCTGTTATGAATGGATCAGACTAAATCTGCTAGATGACTTTTTCAATTACCTCCATGACCTGGGTGGCTCTGACCAAACCTTTTTTTAAAGAAATATTCCCCAGTCACCTTGACATCAGGTCAACAATTACCTACTGACCGCAGCATGACCGCAGCGCAGGCCATCGAGTTTTGGACGAAAGGGGCAAACGGCAGTCTACGAAGTCTCATTTACGAGTACGTACTAAAATTCCCTGCTACGCTGCCATATTGCTACCAAATTTCTCTCCTTTGGTTGGTATCAATACGCAGTACGGACGAAATCGCCGCACTAAAAATTTCGTATTGCCTGGTATTTTGGATGGTATTATTTTCATTTTCGTTCAGCCGGTGGGTGTGTTATTTTCAGGTTTGTGTTGTAATTTATATTTTATATTTGGAAATGCAAACTGCATTATTGTGCTTTTTGGTGTTAGTTTGTATCTTGCTTTTCATATAGCTTTGCGCAGGGGTGGATAATTAGGTAGTCATAAAGCAGGCGTCACACTTCCGTGTTAAGGGCCGGAGGTCCGGTGACGGGCTGTGGCCTTGAGACGGCCGCCGGTTTATTACGTCACAAACGTACTATCGATGCAGAGTTTTCTATCGATGTGAGAGCTTTGATTTACGGAGCGGGGAGATGAAAATGACCAGCGCACAGCGGACGCAGGGAGAGGAAAGGATAAAAAAACTTGGTCACAGCAGCGGACTCGCTTCGAATCCGAAGGTCCCGGGTTCGAATCCCACCATGGCGTTGCCTCAGCGGCCACTTTATCGTACTTTTTAATTTTTAGAGGGCTGGGATCGGCAGTGATGAGGGTGCTAGAGCTCACTGACTCGAGTTCGACTCCAATGCAGAGGTCCTGGGTTCGAGTCCCACCACGGCGTTACCGAAGCGGCCACTTTATCGTAGATGCTTTTTTAGTTTTATAGGATTGGGATCGGCAGTGCTGAGGGTGCTAGAGCTTACTGACTCGACTCCAATGCAGAGGTCCTGGGTTCGAATCCCACCACGGCGTTACCGAAGCGCCCACTTTATCGTAGATACTTTTTTAGTTTTATAGGATTGGGATCGGCAGTGCTGAGGGTGCTAGAGCTTACTGACTTGACTCCAATGCAGAGGTCCTGGGTTCGAATCCCACCATGGCGTTGCCTCAGCGGCCACTTTATCGTACTTTTTAAGTTTTAGAGGGTTGGGATCGGCAGTGCTGAGGGTGCTAGAGCTCACTGACTCGACTCCAATGCAGAGGTCCTGGGTTCTCTACTCAAAGCCCCTGATCAGTAGAAAACACGGCATGGAATCCTGTTCCACCGCTGGGATTTGAACCCGCGACCTCCGGCGACCCTATCAGCGAGTTTAACATTTGTCGTCATGCACGGTAATCCCGCTGCTCTACTTAAACATGATTCGAACCCAGGACCTCTGCATTGGAGTCGAGTCAGTGAGCTCTAGCACCTTCCTCAGCACTGCCGATCCCAGCCCTCTAAAACTTAAAAAGTACGATAAAGTGGCCGCTGAGGCAACGCCATGGTGGGATTCGAACCCGGGACCTCTGCATTGGAGTCGAGTCAGTAAGCTCTAGCACCCTCAGCACTGCCGATCCCAATCCTATAAAACTAAAAAAGTACCTACGATAACGTGGCCGCTTAGGTAACGCCGTGGTGGGATTCGAACCCAGGATCTCTGCATTGGGGTCAAGTCAGTGAGCTCTAGCACCCTCAACACTGCCGGTCCCAGCCCTCTACACACAAAAAAAACACGCACACACCCAAAAAAGTTCGCGACTGTCGGCCGCTGATCGAACGGCATGGTGGGATTCGAACCGGTGACCTTCGGATTCGAAGCGAGTCCGCTGCTGTGACCAAGTTTTTTTTATCCTTTCCTCTCCCTGTGTCCGCTGTGCGCTGGTCATTTTCATCTCCCCGCTCCGTAAATCAAAGCTCTCACATCGATAGAAAACTCTGCATCGATAGTACGTTTGTGACGTAATAAACCGGCGGCCGTCTCAAGGCCACAGCCCGTCACCGGACCTCCGGCCGTTAACACGGAAGTGTGACGCCTGCTTTATGACTACCGATAATTATAGGGGCTTTGGGGGTGTTCGAGCACCCCCTGAAATTCAAAAGTCACCATCTGATAGTGCTCCAGGGGTGCTTAGGTACTGCTTAAATTATGTACGAGACACAAACAACTACTTTGTGTAAGTTGTGAGGAGAGTGATGCTGCTGGGAAAACTACTTAGGTACCTACATGTGTTATTCTAATTCTATGCAATATATTGACGCTTCCATTCGTCAGGTCAAGGTGCTAGAAAAGCACCTCCTGGGCCATACTGCAAAGTATGGCTTGTTGGTTGAGGTCGATAAGGCGCACCAGTCCAAGCTGATAATGCACCGCCACCAACCCTTCACTAAGAGCCGAAAATCCACAGCAAAGCCGAATAAGAGTACAAAAAAACCACACCGAACCCAAAAAAATGACCAGTTTACATCAGCACTGACCTCAATTAGTGATCCGCCATGCTCATTTTCTGTCATAAGCTCTTGTCCTTTTTTCAGGGATATTCAGAGGCTTCATCATGGCAAACTTTTTGAAAAACTGTCGCAGAATGAAGGTATGTCTTGATTATTTTCCTTATCTGAATTTCGTATTCATAATCAAATCAAGTAATGCTTGCAAATCTGGACTGAATGGATTCAAGTGTGATTCTTTGTCTGGACTCATTGTATGGCTGTTTCCACTTTCCAATGAGAATGAATGAAATAAACATATCATTAACTAACCAGACCTACATATGTAGCTGAACCTTACTTTAACACATCATATCACAGCCTTGCTTTGACTCATGAGAAAGTTTTACCCAAAATTAACACACAAAGACTTGCACCAATGAATGAAACTTTGTCTGGTAGTTATATGAAAGGTGAATGGTAGCTTCTCTTGTGTGTTCTGTAAGGAAACGGAAAGGGAAGGATATACTTAACTCAAAATAAAATGTCTTTTGAGCAGCTTACTACCAAGCAATGCCTCCAAAGCTCTAAAAGAGCAAAATGCTGGATAAGGGATTGGATATCTCTTCCAGAGATTATTTGCACCATAGCCAGTGGCCTTTCAAGAAAATATAGGTCCATATGGGCCCACAAGTCTTTTAAGAAATTTTAGGAATGACAAGCAAGTAGCAACTTTTCTTCACTCATAGACAGCAGAATATGTCGACTAATGCTTATGAATGCAACGCTTGCCTTTATTGAAAGTGGGCATAAATGTGGCTGTAATTTTTAGAAAGATGGAGTAATTTTTAGAAATTTTTAGAAAGTGGGTCTACAATAACCAATTAGCCATATCATTATTTTTCAACCCACTTATCATCCAGAATTAGGAACATGTCAGCCTAATAAATGCAAGAGTAATCAATTGATATGGGTGCATGAGTTATGACTGTTTGAACTGGAATCTGGATTCCAGTGCATACACCCATTCCAGTACACTGGAGTCTGGACTATTTGTTCAGCACTCTCATGTTAATAAATTTTGTTGAAAACATAAACTAAAAATGGTGACAAGACATGTCACAACTAGATGCCAATTTATTACAATATATGTGTGACTGTCAATGATTCTATTATTGACTTATTTCCACTGATGGGTCTGACTGGCCTGCTGACTGTGCTGCAGTGGCCCACTGAGCGATCTCCCGCCGCTCTGAGCAGTCTGCTGACACCCTCTCCCGCTGCGGTTCGACAGCCGGCAGCCCGCTGCCTGTCCACCGTCACCGGCCTGAACGAGGTGGTAATCGCCAGCGCCGCCCGCACCGGCATGGGCAGCTTCCAGAAGACCCTGGCGCCGCTGTCGGCCACCCAGCTAGGCTCCATCGCCGTCAAAGTAAGCGGATGGAAATTTCCTCATCAACTCCTCAAGGTTTGGTGCTTATAAGTGCCACTGGTACCAGACACATCGCTGTTTTGTTAGAAAGGAGAATGCTCCGCCGTTTTTTTCTGTCATGAACTACGGCAAATGCTTTGATGTTGCTGGGTGCCAACACAAATATTTTGTTTCAAATAAACGATCATCATACTATGTATTGATCAGTCTCGCTTAAGCGCTCAGTCTTGCAATTGGTGAAATATAGCAGCATTAGTCAGTCTTCCTGTAGTGCTAGACGTTTACCCTGGCGGTGGTCGTCTCAGGGTGAAGTTCCCCATTTGGCCGACAGGCGGCGGTGGAGCGGGCCGGCGTCGACCCCTCTGCCGTGCAGGAAGTCTACATGGGTAACGTGCTGCAGGCCAATAGCGGCCAGGCGCCGGCTCGTCAGGCGGCGCTGTTTGCAGGTAGGGGTCGCCGGCGCCGACGCCGCTCCCAAGCTCCGCGACGAGGATGTGGGAGGGAGAGGGCAATTAGGACAAGAAGCAAGGGAGAGAAACAGGGAGTGGTTGTGAGGAGGGGAGAAAGTGAGAATGATGGGGAAAGGAAAGAGGGGATAGGAAGTAGCTACATAGATGGCAGTGATAGCAGGAGCGTTATGTGGATGCACCAGGTGGCAGTACGGGGAGGGGGATAACTATTTCTGAGTTAAGCATTTATGAAATGTAAGTTCTGCACCAAAGTGTATGGCTAATTTGTATGAGTTTTGCGATGTTAAGGACTGACTGGTCAGATGACAATTCTTGTAGTGTGTTGGTCGTTGGAGGCTGACGCCAGAGTGTGACCGTCCCCAGGTCTGTGTGACCGTCCCCAGGTCTGTGTGACCGTCCCCAGGTCTGTAAGACCGTCCCCCAGGTCTGTGTGAAGCTAACCCACTCCCTGTGACCGCCCCCAGGTCTGTCTGACCGCCCCCAGGTCTGTCTGTCTGACCGTCTCCCGGTCTGTGTGACACTGACCCACTCTGCGTAACCGTCCCCAGGCCTGTCTCGCTCCACGCCGTGCACCACCATCAACAAGGTGTGCGCCTCGGGTATGAAGGCGGTGATGATGGCGGCCCAGTCTCTGCAGACGGGTGCCAACGAGGTGATGGTGGCCGGAGGCATGGAGTCCATGTCCAACGTGCCCTACTACATGCCGCGCGGCGCCACGCCCTACGGTGGAGTGAAACTGGTGGTACGTGCGCGCGCCCCGCCGCCGCGGAGCGTGGAGGTCCTAAGCGGCGCCGGCGCTGCTGACGGGGCGGGGTAGTGGGGTGGGCCAGACAGAGGGCGTCATTTACACGGGGTCCTGTGGTCACTGCCACTGGGTGCACTTAGCTTGCTTAAATGATAATGCCCTGGACTGTGCTGGTCACGAGCTCCGAAAACGGTGCCATCAGACATTAATTGCAGAATATATCCTGGTACTAACTACGATACTAAGGTTTAATATGTTAACGTCATGTGCCTACCATGTTGCATAAATTACCAGTCTCCTGCGCTTTGATAATGGTAACTTGCATAATGCTCTGAATGGTTAATGGTAAGCTTGTATAAAAGCTACTGTTTAGGCGCTCTTGATAAGTGGGACCTTTAGCAGTCAGCTGGAGCCTATGGTTTTGGTGTGATCTGGCCCTTCCCGTTTGTGGGATCATCTCTGTTTGGTTCTGGTCATCTTTGTGACATTGCTTTGCGGTCTCCAGGACGGCATTGCCTACGACGGCCTAACGGACGCCTACGACAAGATCCACATGGGGAACTGCGGCGAGAACACGGCACGAAAGATGAACATCTCCCGGGACGAGCAGGATCAGTACGGTACGTGTGTGGGGATAGATACTAGTCTTCTGTGGTGAGCCAGAACGGCACAGCCTCCGCCAGTGGTTGGCCAACAATCACTGGCGTACCGGAAGCCGGCGTCGGTGCCCGGGAGCGTACATATGGAAGTGTTTATGCGTGGAGTTTCAAGAAGTCGAGGGCGTGATTACTGGCCTGCGTGTGTTTCCCGTCTCTTTCTTTGGGTGTTTGTTTAATTTTGGACACGGCCGTTGCCTGCCTGACGGTCGATGCTGCGGTCGTGGTCAATCGTCCATGTCCTTGTCAATACGGTCGATGTCGAATGAATGTGGTCGGTAATATGACATTGGCGGTCCGCATTTTTGTGACTCGTCAAATCAGTCCAGTCACCCTCCCCTCCCCCACTAGTGACCTCTGACGCTGACCCCCCCCCCCCCCCTCCAGCGATGGACAGCTACCGTAAGACGGCGGCCGCTTACGAGGCTGGATCGCTGGCGGCCGAGCTGTGTCCTGTCACTGTGCCTGGCGGACGTGGCAAGCCCGACCTCAGCTTCACGGCCGACGAGGAGTACCACAACGTCAACTTCGACAAGTTCACCAAACTGCGCACCATCTTCGACGTGAGTCGACGGCAGCGTCGGGAAGGGGAACATTGGGAGAGGGGAGAGAGAAGGCGGCTTTGAAGGGGACATAATTAATATTGCATTGTTCAATGGTGATGGTAGCAGTGTGACATTTCAAACAATTTGAGGAAAAGGTTTAATTTCATCTACTTTGCCTTCAAATATAGGAGTAGTTGCTTTTTTCTCGTGGCGGATGCCGGATCCCATGCTTCTTTACGCTTCCATTTATTCAAATATTCACTTATCTTTCTTTTTGGACTCCTCCGAGTTCTTAATTGCAATAATTGAAATTATTACAATGTAGTTTTTCATTACATTGAGTTCCTTCTTCCCTTAACCCGCGCCCCACTGGGGGGGGCTATTTATAGCCCCCCCTCCCGTTTTTCTGCAATAACTTCCAAACCGCTTGGCGGATCGACGCCAAACTTTCAGTACCTTCGGCTGCATCAATTTGACACCTTGTGTCAAAGTTTGAACTTCGTAGCTACCATAGGTCGGCCGGAAATGACGTCAGAGTGACGTCATGTTCGTCCGATTTCGACGCAAAACATTGAACCACGGCAATCGCTCCCAAGAACTCAGTTTTTAAGCTAGATCCAATTTCTTTGCATGAGAGGACTCAGAATTGACCGCGCTATCAAACTGCTATCTCGGATTTTCAAAATTTTGAAAATTTCGAAAATTTTATATAATAATATTCAAAATTTATATTTTTATATTTTTTCAAAAAGTTTTTGACTTTTCGAAAAAAACCGGAATATATGTGACAGACCGCATGATTATGACTAACTCTAGCAAGTTTTAGCTAAATATCTTCAAAAATGGCCAAGTTATACGCATTATTGCAAAAAATTCACAATTATTAATTTTTCAAATCAATTTTTCAGTACGTATTTGACACCGTACACCGATATAAATGGTACCATCGTGTTCCTGAGCTCAAACTGCATCCAATAGACACCTTTTTTGTTGAAAAATTTTAACTTCAAAATTTGACCTTTTTTGACCTGAAAGTGACCTGACCTAAGCTAAATTCGACTCAAAATGACCTCGAATGACACAGACGACATCAAATTCGAAATCTATGGCCTAAATGGACCATAAAACATGTGTCACGTGACCGACGCATGATATAATATTTTCGTGACCTGTGATGACCTGACCCTGACCTGAAAATCAAAGTACAAGTTTGGTACCCTCAAGGTATCTAGAGCATCTGTTCACAAGTGTGGAAACCAAAAATGAGCCTGATCTGACTGGTAAGACGGCGGCCAGAGCCCAAAATGTGAACAAGCCAAAGTGCTAATAATTTTTACTTTGACCTGACCTGTGACGTTATCGAAGACCTCGAGGTCAATGAAATTAGGTTTCGCTCGACAGTTTTTCCGGGGCTATCAGACGCCGTTTGAATTTTGACGATCGTCCCAGTAGTTTCGGAGTTAGGAGGGGGGGGGGGCTATGATTAGCCCCCCCCCCCCCAGTAGGGCGTGTTATACACAGACCCCAGTGGGGCGCGGGTTAACACCGTGCAATTCAACCAAAACGTAAATGCCATTTTCTGTCGTTTATCACCAAAATCTGGCCAAGTGACCAGGCCTCTGATCTGTTCGCTGTGTTACGTGTCACTTTGCCCAGAACGAGACCGTGTCGACACCGTTGTGGTGACCTACACGTATACGCTGTGCACCCACCAGTGGCAGTTCCCCACCATCCTGGACGACCAGTGACACTCCCTTCGCCCCGCTGACCGTCCGCTGACCCCCCCCCCAGGACCGTCCGCGCTGACCCCCGGACCTTCCGGCGACACTCCCCTTCGGACCGTCTGATGACGTCCCAGGCCATCCTGTGACACTCCCGGATCATCCATTGACCCCCCCCCTTCCCCCGGACCGTCCGCAGAAAGAGGGCACCATCACGGCCGGCAGCTCGTCCAAGCTCAATGACGGCGGCGCGGCGCTGGTGCTAATGACGGCCGCCGCCGCCGACCGGCTCGGCTGCAAGCCTCTGGCGCGCGTGCTGGGCTTCGCTGACGCTGCCTGTGACCCAATCGACTTCCCGATCGCGCCCGCCCTGGCCAAGCAGAAGGTGAGTGTGTCTGGAACCGGCCTGACTAAAAAGGTGAGCTACATATGTCCCGCCCTGGTCAAACACTAGGTGAGATTCCCTGTCCTGGTCACATTGGTGAGCCGTCCCCCGCCCTGGCCAAATACAAGATGAGTCCTGGCCCACCCTGGTCAAACAAGGTGATAAATTCTCGCTCTAGTGAGTCACTGGTGATGGGAAGTGGTCGGTCTTTCAATAACCGTCCCTCTCATTTATATACTTCATCAGAAACATGCTGCATTCCCTGTTCTAAAGGATGCTGGTGTTTTATTTGGAAATTTATGTCGTCGTTATAACTGATAAGAGATTGGAATGATGGGACCCCCGTCGTTTTGATGTTTGCATTCTTGAATACACATTTGTAACTATTGTTCCATATCAAAGGTCAGAGTGATGGATAGCAATGTGTCTTCGAGACCGGCTAAAGCTGTTTATCCGTGTCCACGTACCCGTGGAGGCCCTGCTCCCCTGACTCCCCTCTCCACCGTTCCCGTCCCCAGCTGTTCGCCCAGCTGGGTATCAACAAGGACGACGTGGCCTTGTACGAGATTAACGAGGCGTTCGCCGTCGTCATCCTGGCCAACATCAAGATGCTGGACCTGGACCCGGCCAAGGTCAACGTCCACGGAGGAGCCATCAGCGTTGGACACCCGATCGGGTCAGTGGGCCTCGGTTATCCCCCAGACTATCATGATGTAGGACATACAATCGGGGAATGGATGGGGGTCAGCGGGTCCCGGGGTACCTCTCGGGGCTGCTGTGTGTTGCCCGATCGGTGGGGCGGGAGGCAGGGTCATTTGGCACGGGGTAACCTTTGGACTGCTGGGTGTCACTCGATCGGGGGGAGGGGGAGTGGCAGGGGCCGTGAGTTCCGGGGTACCTCTGGGGCTGCCTTGGGACACCCCATAAGGCACAGGAGTCAGTTTATATGATTCACACAATGCATACCAGTCCATATGTGATTGATTTTCTCCCACAGTTGGTCGCGTAAAAATGCACTGGGGAAACTAGGCTCACTTTGGTTGGAGGTTGGCAGCTGCACTTTCTCCTTTGATTTCTTAGTGATGTTTTATTCCGATTGATCCATCAGTCCATTATTTCTGAGAGCCTCACGGCTCACATAATCTATAAAGCACGGTAACTGTTGAAAGTTATGGGCGGCAATGACAGGGAGATGACACGCCGTAAATCCCTGTCAACCAGCGATTTATGGTGCTAACTAACTGCGCCTGTTATCGCGTGTCAAGTCGCTTCGCGCTACAGAATGAGGTTTATGGTGCTTCTGGAGATGGAAACTTATGATTTTTGGTACAGTAATAATTATATGTATGTCTGCATTAAGACACCAGTCAACCTGTTACAAGCAAAGACATCTCATGCTTAAGAGGTTCTGAATGTTTTGCCTTCCCTTGAGAGTATAACGCATGATGCTACAAAATTTGTTTTGTTTTGTAGTTAGGTTCTTTCGATCTTACGAGACCTTATCAGAGCCGGGAGGATGATAGAATTTACGAGTAGACACTGGTCTGGTCGGGCACCCTGGTGCTCCGTCGGGCCTGAGCTCATCCAGTGTACAGGCCACCCAGCTCCGTTAATATGGTCACCGCACCCGGCCAAGGGCCTGCTCCTGGTTGGAGCCAACCGTGTGGGATAAAGGTGACCGTCCAGCCCGAATCAGGGTGTTTGCGAGAAGGAAAATTATTATTTGACTGTCATGAGGATGGAAAATGAACGGTGGCTGCTAAAAAAATAAATAAAAAAACACTTTCAACCACAATCAAGGAAATTGGACATCCGCGTGGTCAAGTTTTGACGTTAAACACGTATTCAAAGGATCCAGCCAGGTTGATTTGGGATATGTACCATAAAATCGATCTACGACAGTGCAGCTTTCCTACGCCGAGCAATAGCCAGTAAATCGCCGATATTGTGAGGATGTTGATGACTGGCGCAGAATTGCCCGAGGTCTGTTTTGCGGTGTGTCCGGGCGGTCTAAGTTTGGACTGAGTGGTTAGAGCCGCACTTTCAGCAGTGAGGGTAATGCTCGAACGTCCGTGCCCCCGTTCGAGAAGCCATTTTGGACCATCATCCGAATTTATGACACCTCCCGAATGGCTGCTATCCACTCCCAGCCTTTAAGTAGCGTTTATCCTAATGTATTTTATCGATTTGACTTCAGTGGTTTATTGGTATTCAGCTTGATGTCGACTGTACTTTGCGTCTAACGTATTGTGGTGAAATCACTAACAATATGGAGTAGTGAAATGCAGTCTTGTAGCGGTACAAACATCCTTGCGTAACAGCTGTTTGCTTGATGAAGGGCGTTACATTATGAAATGGTAATGCCGCTTTCAGCTATCCGCACCGCGGACTTGAGTACCTGTTGCTTGTCTAGCCAATGTATTTACTGCTAGAAAACATTGTATGGGGCGGGCGTTATTCGATGTGCAAGTTGCCGTTGGTTATCAGGCCTTCATTAGTTTTAGGAGTGGGTGGCCACTATATTGAGGCAGGCCAGTGCGTTACGCTCGGGGCCCCGACCAGTATGTTTCTTTGAGGGACGGCTGACGAGCTATCCTTCCCGGAGATCCATGTCCGCTAACCACCAGTCCGTGTCGGTCTTTCAGTCCGAGTCCGTCTCCAATGTCGATCAAATGACCGGTCCGTCCGTATACACCGGTCCATAAGGGACTAATCCGTGCCAGCCGAATGACCTTACATGAAAACTCCGTGCTGTAGCATCACTAATCCCGGAACATTGCCAGTGCGTGTCTTTCAATGACCGGTCCCTGTGCGTGTCCACTGTCCATCCACTGATCACTCTGACTCCGTGTGCGACTGTGACTGTGACTGCGACTGCGACTGCGACTGACCGATCGTCTCCGCTCCACAGGATGTCCGGGGCACGCATCACCGGCCACCTGGCGCACTCGCTCAAGCCGGGCCAGCTCGGTGTGGCCTCCATTTGTAATGGTGGTGGCGGCGGCTCGGCCATCGCTCTGCAGGGCCTGTAGACGACAGTACGCGACGCCAGCTTCCCGTCAGTGAGTGGCCGAACGGAGGGTCCGCCCGCGGCGGGACGGGGTCCGCCGCAGCGGGAGGGGTATCAAAACGCCCGGCGCTCCCACGAGGCGAGGGGGCGCTTTGTCGCACGCGGTGATCCCGGATAGGATGCATCATACTGTACAGTTTTTGTAATGCCCTCGGACGTCATTTGTAACGAATTACTGAGCGTTGTGAGTGACAAAGGAATCGTAAGTTTCGACAGGCGCGGATACAAGGGGGGGGGGCCATGGGGGCCATGGCCCCCCCCCCCCTTGGCCGATTTTTTTTTCAAAAAATAAATAAAAAGTTAAAAAGTTAAAAAGCTGAAAAGGGGGCCTCCTGAAAATAAAGTGGCCGAAATCCGATGAGTTTTTTTTTAACCTACCCACTTAGTTATTTCTTAGAAGACTAGCTGAGAAGACTTCTTTGTTAGAAGATTGGTAAAGCTTTTCATAACTTGGAGGTCTCTTATACTCACAGAGATGACCACTTTTACAGGGCCTCCTAACCTGCACAGAGGGCCTCCAAGCCTGCACAGATGTTGAGATGTTGCCTGAACAGCTAGATAAGCTCAATAGACGCAGTTTTTTTTTTGGGGGGGGGGGGCCCAACAAGTGGGAAGATGGGGCCTCCAACAGGTGGGATTATGGGGGGGGGGGCCTCCTGGTTTCTAATGGCCCCTCCCTTGGAGATTTTCTGGATCCGCCCCTGAGTTTCGATGCATATTTTTGAGCCCTGGAGTCCCGACTGGCCAACTACTAGCCCCGTGTCATAGCTTAGAATAAGGAAGGGTGCCTATTCGCGGTAGAGCAGCATCTAATAGTAAGCGGTTTACTCTGAATTGAGATGCATTGTTAAGAGGCCAGTCGGGCAAGTATGTGAGCATTGTGCAGCCTTTCTACTTCTTCATTGCAATTTTGATTGGTTATTTGAAACACTCTTAGTCATCTTCCCAAAATTACCTATTTAAGAAACGATATCGACATTGTATTTGACTCTCTTATAATTACTAGCCCCTTTTTGTGGTCAGTTGCTTGTCCTAGGCAAGCGAATACCTACCGTAGCCCTGCTCTTATTTAACCGGTTTTGGTTTTCTATCGCCTTTACTCTTTAGGTTATTCATGCCCTAGGCACTTGTTGGTACGATATAGAAGTGTAGTTGTAATGCAGGTTGTGTTTGCTCTATGGTCCCGCGGCCAAAGTTAGTCGGTTGATATGACTGCGTTCAATCGGTGTCTGGTGCAATATCGGTTTGCGTGGCAGCGTTGTCCCGGCGATGGGTACCACGGATCGCCCGTCTCTGTGTCGTTCGTGCGGCCTGTGCAAACTTCACTGGGATGGATAGGGAATCAATACAAACGGCTGTGTATTGATTCTTTTGAACCGGATTCTTTTGAATCGCTGTCTGGGAAAAGGAGCATCAAGGCGAGCGGATGTCCTAATCTCCGCCTGGGCTAATGCAATTCTAGGAGCATCTCGAACCAGATCGGTCAATTGTTCAATAGTTCATTCCACTGAACAATACCGACGAACACATTTTGGAAAAAGGCAGCAATCACCGTGAAAATATGCCTATCACGTGCATAAAAACAAGTTTCCTCATTATACTGGCCCGTGAAAAACACCACTTCTCCGTCGCACAGAGTCGCCAAAACACGCCGGCTCCCCTATTACCCGCCGTGTGGAGCTGCTCGTTGGGCCGGCGGCCGCTCATTTGATAGACAAACACGGCGAATTGTGACGCTGTGCGCTCGACGCTGATTGGTGGCTGCCGCGGTCCGCGAGCAGGTTCAACAAACAGACGACGGGCGGCCGCGGCGACTGCTTAGGTGGCCACGGAGACGGGATAATCAGAGGGCAACGAACCACGGTGCAGTTCATACAACACATCACGGTCTGATTCAGCGTAGCGGAACAAGGGCTAGTGCAGTTCAACTCGGTAGACCAGGGTTGGGTTCGATATAATCGACACAGCGGTCAACGAGCACACAGCGGACTACGGGACAGTGTAACACTGCGGGCCCAGGTGCTGAAACCCCGTAAACCATGAGTTAGTGTAACACAGCTGATCTGGGACTAGGATAGTACAGTGGACCGCAGGCTAGTGTAACACAACAGACCACTGGATGATGTAGCACAACGCACACTGGGCTGGGTCATAGTGGTGCCACACCCACCGGTTACCCGCCTCTCGGATCACCCTTGGGCTGGGTGATTCCATCCGATGTGGCGTGGAATGGCTAGTGTTTAATGGAGTGAGTAATAGGCCCGACAAGTGCGCAACTCATTAAGGCCTGCAGATGTTTAGAAATGACAAAAATACCAATGCAAAACATGCTCAAATATATTTTGAATAAAATTATTGTCGTGTAGCAATGTAGGTTGTAAACGGTGAACGAAACTTTCAACCTGAAAAGCCGTTCTAATGGGAGGGCCTTGCATTTACATCACAAACAGCTGGAATAGCGGCTGCTGTTCTTAACGTCACGAATTCAATTTGGAACTTGAACAAGAACTGTGCACAACAATGATGATGCTAGTTACCGTACTGTTATCAACTCAGATTGACAAAAGAAAAATGCATAACATGTTGCTATGTACGGTAGGTAGCTAGAAACTCGTACCTCACTTCAACACAAGCCGAAACTGCCATGCTTTCAGCTACAATAGATCAAAAATTTCATCGCCAGAGGTCAAGTCACGTTGACAGACCCGTCCGACTCGTCGCTGGCGGTCGTCCTACCCCTCACTGGTGGTCCTTCCAGACGTTCTGTCTCCGCCCCACCTCTGCCGTCCGACGCCCCACCTTCGTTTCCTCCCGGCCTCAGGCCGTCAGAGGCTCCTTGTCGGTGTCGTTGTGGAACATCCGCCTGAGCTCCGCGGCGCTGATCCTGCCGTCACAGAGGCCGCAGCACCAGCAGCTGCGGTGGGTGCAGGCCAGACAGCACAGCAGCAGCCCCAGCATGGCTGGCGAGCGACACACAGTGACAGTCAGCTGCATACAGTGCGCCGATAACAACAGCTTCAGCGTTTGCCATCGCTAGCACATCAGTGTCAGCCAGCCACATGAAAGTAATTGAAATCACATGAAGCAGCAGGAGCTATGTATTTTGGCAGCCGACAGGATAGGTCATCCATTTACATCCACACCTGACACCACTAACCTCGAACACAAAATAACTAGGTGAAATATGAGCTTTGAACTCAGTACCCATCTGTGCCGTGATATTCTTTTTATCCTTTTACCCCGCCGTAGTAATCGCTATTGGCCGGGGAAACGGCTCTAGAGCTACAAGAATTGAGCAATGAGCAGTACCTATTGATCGCAGTGCTGGCAGTGCTGTGTGGAGTGGCTGCTCTGAGCAAACGAGCAGTGAGCAGCTGAGATAGACATGCTGTGGCCGTGGCCAGTTCCACTCAGCCTGGGTTGGTGACGTGTAGGATTCCTTGCACACATACCAGTGCTGTGAGTGCTGCTGATGTCACCCGTCTGGAGTTCAGGTAACTAACTATTATTCAGAGAGCAGAGTCCCGCGAGGTGGCGCGGTGTGGCAGTGCAGAGGTGCCCGCGGACTGTCACCCCCACCCGTGTACTGACTGGCGGCAGCCGGCACGGCCACGGCGAGCATGGCGCCCAGCTCGACCGAGTGCACGCCCTCGCCAGAGTACGGCGGCAGCGGCTCCCAGTCGGGTTTGCGGCGCGGCGGTGGCGGGGGCGGCGCCGGGTAGTGCAGCATGCCGTTCACCGAGACCGCGTCCCCGAGCACCTGAGAACGGCGGTACCGTCAGCGGTCATCTCTGGGAGGTCAGCCAGCAGCCCCGCGGCACAGTCTGCATCAGAGCGTCAGCACCAGCATCAGCTTTATACCGTCAACACTAAGCGGCAGCTCCCCACCGCGTGATAAGTGGACAAAAGCATGGCGGCTCGGGCGGCTGGATGGCTATGAAGTGTGAACTATAGACCCAGAATGCCCATGTTGTTGGACCTGAGTTATAATAACCTGCTGGAGACTGACTGAAGTAAAACTGACTGCGGCGGTTGTTACACATTCCGCGTCGTTAACACAGGCAACCCGCTGCCGGCGGGACTGGACTGACCTGAAGTCGCTGGCCGTCCACTGTGACGCTGTCCGTATCGTCCAGCTCGTAGGTCTCGCCGCGCACGCTGATGGTCGAGTCGTTGTGGGGCTGAATGTTGAGCTGCTCCAGACTGGGCGGCTGGCCGTACAGGGCTCGTCTGATCTCGGCGGCCACGCCGATGTAGGAGGGGTATTGAGGCAGGTTGACTCCGACGGGTGCCAGCACTGCCATCACAGGGGGCGGGGTGGGGGGTGGGGGGTCCGCTGAGGGGTGCAGTTGTGCAGTGCACTGATTACTGACTAGCGCCGCTGTCACAAATAGGATTGTACGGGTGCATACCGACTGGCGGGTAGCACCGCTGCCTGCCACGACACTGAGGGACAAGGCTACAGCTGAGGTGGTTTTCGGAGGGAACTGACATCGGTAGCACTTCGAGAGAGAGATTAGTCGAGGAAATCGGTTAAGAGGATCGAGTTGTGACAGAGGGGCTGATGGGGAGGCCCCGGCTTGGTAGGCATCTAAGGCTGACGGGGGCCATTTTCCTGGCTTTGTGGCAAATGGACGATGAATGCTTGAGTCTTGTAGTTGGTTTGAACTTGATATTTGTAAAATATTGCCTGTCCTCCAGCTCCAACTCCAAAACAGGAGACCTAACCATTATACTCGTAAGTTAACCCGCGCCCCGCTGGGCTATTCAGCCATACGCGCCCTGCTGGGGGGGGGGGGGGGGGCAGATTCTGCCCCCTGTCTAACTTCCGAACCGATGGTCGTAGAAAGACGGGGAAAACGGCAATCGAAAGCTCTCAACAAGGCGGATCTTAAGAGCCCAAATTTTTTTGCTTAAGTAGGTCAGAGGTCAGGTCAAGGTCAGGTCAAGGGTACAAAATGCAAGTTTCTACAGTATCGGCCTTGCACCGTAGTTGCCGAAGAATGGACTGAGCCTGATTGCCCAAAACGTGTCCTTAGACTACCAAGACAATATTCGTTGCATACAATGTCATTCAAAGGTCAAGGTCACGGTCAGGTCAGTCAGGTCACAAAAAAAAATATAGAAAAGGGCATGTGCGACACATGTTTTATGGGTCATTTTACTCATAGAATTCAATAGGCACACTCAATAAGTGATATGGACCACCTCTGGATGAATTTCAGGTCGAGGTCAGGTCAAATTCAGGTCAAGTGAGGTCAAATTTTGAAGTTGGTTGTTACGGCCTAAAAAGGTGTCTATCAGATGCAGTTTTTCACGGCGAATCGAATGGTGCTATTTTTGTTTCCGTACAAGGTCTAGAACTTCCAAAAAAAATCATTTTTTCACAATTTTTGTATGTCGTGACGTCATAAAATTTTGAATAACTCCCACATTTTTAACCGATTCCTCTAAAAATTGCAATGTAGGTGCACATAGACCACTTCTCTGACATATATTCCGGTTTTTTCGATACACTCAAAATTTTGGATTTTATAATTATTTTCCCAAAAAAGTCAGTTTTTTGAAAAAAATTGGGCCAAAATCCAAAATTTTCAAAAAACCGTGATAGCCATTTGATAAACAAAGTAGAATCACGTATAACCTTTTTTTACGTCTTGATTCCTTTAAAAATGAAGATGTTAGCGGCGTTTGAAAGTTTGCCGTTTTTGAGGCGAAATTGGCGAACATGACGTCACTAAAACGTCAATTTCTCAAAAATTTTCTGACGGATTTCGCTCAAATTTTCAGGGAATGTGTCAAATTGATGTATGATAAGGTACTGGAAGTTTGACGTCGCTGGCGTAACGCGTTTAGAAGTTATTGGCGAAAAACGGGAGGGGGGGCAGATTCTGCCCCCCAGCGGGGCGCGGGTTAATGGGGGAAACTAGGGTTACCCGCGTGCTCCGCAACGCGAAGAAGGGTTATTTTTGACCCGTGGGTATTGGGTTGGTCTGTGTCGATTTGGCTGGTAGGTATCCATTTCGTTCGGTTGCTTCTTGACGGCCAAGCATTTTGTAATAAAACAAAAAAAGATACATCGCATCGAGGTGCCCGTGCAGTATTAGCATGCGTTCTACTTTAGAATGATTCGAAAACTGGCGTGAAGTCTTTTGAGGGCCATCGATAAATTTCGCTAAAAATGACAATATAATGATTTGGAACATTTACATTTTTAAGGATACTGTTGCTAATCATGCAAAAATGAAGAGTGAATATTGGACAGAATTGAATGCTCTATCCAATGGTACCATATTCAATTGCCAAAGGTATCAGGTTATGCAGCAAACCCCGTGTGATTAATAAAGTGGCACAAAATTGACAAACACCATTTTCTCCTGTGATTTGCACCACCTTGATTTGGATCAATCAGCTTTTCACAATTTGTATATGAGAGGCGGTACCTTTCTCTTGCAAATAGGCGTTGATTCAAGTCGCTCCATTTAACGGTCACCTAAAGATAAAATTAATTCCAAAATCCCTCAAAAACCACAATTTTTCAAATAAAAGTGCCCTCTCCGGTGCACGTGGCGCGTGCTATCCTCTGCATTGCACACCATTCAATAGCCCGTTCAATTCTGTACACGATGCTGTTTTCCCCGTGCCGGTCGGACCCCTGGTCACCAAGATATTGCACGGGAACTGGACCCGTGTCGGCCAAAATTAGCCGTTTTCGCCCGATTTCGCACGCCGATTTATACATGTAAAGTCTATGACGCGAATTTGCACTTTTTGAGCACGCGCCACGCGCTCCCTATCAATCCGATCGAGCTGAGACCCCTCAAAGGCACGTCGCGCATCCTTGATCTATAAGTTGTGCAAATTTCACCGGGCTAGGTGCAACGGTCTGGCCTGTAGTCCACGCAAAGCACCACCAAGTCGGGACCTCGGTAACGGACAGACGCACCCTCCTCAAATAGTAATATAGATATGGACATTGTTATTTTGGCGCCAGGAATTATCTAGAACTATCTTAGGCACATGAAACCATGATTTCATGCACTTCTTGCAAGGTCTGATGATTCACTTTTGGCATCGTTGACATTGCGTGACGTCATTTATGAGGTCACTAAAGTCATAAAAAATTCGTCAACAACTCTCGATCAATTTAGCCATCGGCCTGGCAGTGGGCAGGGGTCGATGCGATCCTTCCCCCCCCCCTATTTTTTTTTTGCGAATTACGTAGTCGGATCGTGCTGAAATTTTCAAAAGCCTCTGGGGCATCCTTTGCGCAACTTCTGGAAAACAATATTTTCGGGTTATGCCAGGTCACTGAGCTATGACGTCATAATACCTAGATATAACCTCCTACCGTTTTGACAAAATCGTATATTTCGCGTAACTGGACATGATCTCATCAACAAAAACGAAACTTTCCGTGTGATTTATGTCGGATTTTGACAGGACATGAAGCTCTACATTGTATAGGTATTGACCTTTTCAAAGGTCAACCAATGTCAATGACCTCGCATGTTCACACGCTGACCTCCGTGATATGAGCTGTGTTTAGTTGTTTTATTTTTTAGGTCCTGAATCCGAATCTGTGGTTCAATTTTTACCTACACGCCTTCAAAACTGTTCCTTGACCTTCACAAGGTCAACCCAGGTCAATTACGACCGTCGTCACCGGCGGCGGGTGCGACCTCCCGTGTTCCCGGGGACTACGTCACGACAGTAATGACTGGACTGCAGTCAACTATGCATCATTTTGTTGCTAATTTGTTGAGGAACACGGTCGTGAAAGTGTCGTGTCGCTGTCTTTCATAGATTTGCCAATATTGGCTATAAGTAACTTGGAAAACTATGCCTACCTTTTCCCCGGGATTTGACCTTTGACCTGTCATAACTGGGTCAACTATTGACCTAGGGTAAAAAATATACCACCGATTGCGAGTACTCGTTGAAAGCAATCGAGTGGTCTTTGTAGTTTGTTGCGAAGCGCTACGACGCTTAGTTTCGAAACGCCAGGGGTCGCATCGACCCCCCCCCCCCCCCCCCGCCGCCAGGCCGCTTATGAAAAATGTCCTGCCAGGGCGAGGGTTAAGCTAGCGAGTCGGGAATGCCAACAATAGACTCGGGAATATCTGCCGAATCGAATGATCGATTCCCTATCCTGTGACCAACTTCATGACCTGAGTGCCTCTGACCTGACTTCGACCTGAGGTCAGACCTTAACCCTCGCCCGTAAACGGCGATCTGCCACCTTCGCCCATGCAGGGGGGGTTGGTGCGACCCCCCTTGGCGTTTGAAAACGGAGCGTCGTAGAGCTTAGCGGAAAAGACCAACGGATTGCCCTCGCCGAGATCTCGCGATTGGTGGTATATTTTTTGGTCCTAGGTCAACATTTGACCTACTTTTGACCGGTCAAAGGTCAAATTTTTCGGAAAAATATACTTTTTCAACTTTCCGCGGCGATTGCGGCAAAACGGTGGGAGATATCGACTTGAAACCTTCACTGTCGTGTTCCTTGATCAATTCTCTATCGTTTGGTATGTATTTCGTTTCCCTAGCTCTAAAAATGGCGCGTTGGGAGCGCCGGAAGTCGGCAAGGTCACAGTCGGCGGCAGAAATTCGAAAAATCAAAATTTAAATTTTTGAAATCTGATTGTATTTTTGGATTTGGGAGGTCCATTTGCTCCCTATAGAAGCTAATATTGCTGCATATTCCCATCGAGGTGACAAGAATTAGCAAAATAGTGGTTCGGGCGCTTTTCAAAAATAGTACCGGACGCTGTTCCTCTTGTGACGTCATAGCTCCGTGACCTGACCTGACCCGGTCAAGTTTCTTATACCATATGATAGCCAATACTTGCCCCAACATGCATGGGAAGTTTCATCACGATCCATCAACCGATGTCCGTACCACCGGCAGGAAACCTCGGGCGTTGGCACTCAGTTTGTGAAAATCCGGCCGGAGGCTGTTCCCTTTGTGACGTCATAACTCCGTGACCTGACATGACCCGGTCAATTTTTTTTATCAAAAGATGCGCAAGGTTTGCCCCATAAGGTACACAAAATTTGGCGGCGCTGCGCGCCGCCGTTTTTGCACTATTTCCGAAAAACCTCAGGGGGGTTTTTCGTTGCACCAACCCCCCCCCTACATGGGCGAGGGTTAAGTTGACCTCGCCCAAACAAAAAGTTTATCATTTGACGCGCCTGAACATGAGGATCACGCCGGTGTCAAAATCGCGGCCCTATAATCATTTTTTGGTGAAGTTATGTCCAAAAACCGAACCCGTACTTATCTACCTTAAGGGCACTTGACCTGACCTGAGAGGTCATTAGTTGACCTGAGACCTTAAAATCGGGTACTAGTTAATTACTGCGTCTCGTAGAACGGCACACACGCTCGTTTTTTTGCGAACCTCTAGCTCAGGAGCGAAATGGCGACGGGGTCGCAGCCGCACCGCCCCGGCCCGCCACCCCCCCCCCCCACCCCTTCTTCCCCCCTCGACCGGGACGTGTGTACTGTGTAGAAACCAATAGGTCCAGCATGGGTTATACCGTCCACGAAACGACACGCCCAATTGTAAGACCGTCATGAGGCAATATGGCACCATTGACTGGTCGGCATTCACGCGCGCACTGATGATGATACGTCTATTACGAGTTACGACCCAATGAAAGCTTTATTCAATGCAATGAAAATAACGAAAGAAGCTTTATTCGTCGGCCGGACTGTTTAGCAGGGCTGTCATGCATGCAAATTGATGCTATTCCATCGTACAGCCGTATAGGTGTACTTTATCCCACGCCCCACTGGGGAGGGGTGCTATTCATAGCCCCCTTCCCGTTTTTCTGCAATAACTTCGAAACCGCTTCACGTATCAACGTCAAACTTTCAGTACTTTCGGCTGCATCAATTTGACACCTTGTGTCAAAATATGAATTTCACAGCTACCATACGTCGGCCGAAAATGACGTCAGAGTGACGTCATGTTCGGCCGATTTCGACGCAAAACATTTACCTAACCACGGCAATTGCTCCCAAGAGCTCAGTTTTTAACCCGCGCCCCACTGGGGGGGGGGGGGGCTATTCATAGCCCCCTCCCGTTTTTCCGCAATAACTTCCAAACTGCTTGACGTATCGACGCCAAACTTTCAGAACCTTCGGCTGCATCAATTTGACACCTTGTGTCAAAATTTGAACTTCGTACCTACCATAGGTCGGCCGGAAATGACGTCAGAGTGACGTCATGTTCGGCCGATTTCGACGCAAAACATTGAACCACGGCAATCGCTCCCAAGAGCTCAGTTTTTAAGCTAGATCCAATTTCTTTGCATTAAAGGACTCAGAATTGACTGCGCTATCAAACTGCTGTCTCGGATTTTCAAAATTTTGAAAATTTTGTAAATTTTAATAATAAAATTAGAAATTCATATTTTTATATTTTTTCGAAAAGTTTTTGACTTTTCGAAAAAAAAAACCGGAACATTTGTGACAGAACGCATGCTTATGACTTACTCTAGCAAGTTTTAGCTAAATATCTTTAAAAATGGCAAAGTTATACGCATAATTGCAAAAAAAATCACAATTATTAATTTTTCAAATCAATTTTTCAGTACGTATTTGACATCGCACATCAATATAAATAGCACCATCGTGTTCCTGAGCTCAAACTGCATCCAATAGATACCTACCTTTTTTATTGAAAATTTTTTACTTCAAAATTTGACCTTTTTTGACCTGAAAGTGCCCTGACCTAAGCTAAAGTTGACTCAAAATGACCTCGAATGACGCAGACGACATCAAATCAAATTCGAAATCTATGGCCTAAATGGACCATAAAACATGTGTCACGTGACCGACGCATGATGTAATATTTCCGTGACCTGTGATGACCTGACCCTGACCTGAAAATCAAAGTACAAGTTTAGTACCCTCAGGGTATCTAGAGCATCTGTTTACGAGTGTGTAAACTAAAAATGAGCCTGATCTGACTTGTAAGACGGCGGCCAGAGCCCAAAATGTGAACAAGCCAAAATGCTAATAATTTTTACTTTGACCTGACCTGTGACGTCATCGATGGCCTCGAGGTCAATGAAATTAGGTTTCGTTCGACAGTTTCTCCGGCGCTATCAGACGCCGTTTGAATTTTGACGATCGGCCCGTTTTGGAGTTAAGAGGGGGGGGGGAGCTATAAAGAGCTCCCCCAGTAGGGCGTGTTATACGCAGACTCCAGTGGGGCGCGGGTTAAGCTAGATCCAATTTCTTTGCATAAGTGGACTCATTACCTATAGCAAAAAAAATCACAATTAATTTTTTTTTCAAATCAATTTTCAGTGCGTATTTGACATCGAACGCCAATATAAATAGCACCCATCGTGTTCCTGAGCTCAAACTGCATCCGATAGGCACCTTTTTTGTCGAAAATTTTAACTTAAAATTGGACCTTTTTTACCTGAAAGTGGCCTGACCTAAGCTAAATTCAACTCAAAATGACTTCGAATGACATAAACGACATCGAATTCGAAATTTATGGCCTAAATGGACCATAAAATATGTGTCACGTGACCGATGCATGATATAAGATTTCCGTGACCTGTGATGACCTGACCCTGACCTGAAAATCAATGTGCAAGCTTGGTACCCTCAGAGTATCTTAAGAATCTGTTCACGAGTGTGTAAACCAAAAATGATTCTAACCTGACTTGTAAGATGGCGGCCAGAGCCCAACATGTGAACAAGCCAAACATCGATAACTCTTACTTTGACCTGATCGGTGACCTCGAGGTCAATAAAATTAGGTTTCGTTCGACAGTTTTTTCCGGGGCTACAGACGCCGTTTGAATTTTTGCGATCGGCCCAGTAGTTTCGGAGTTGGGAGGGGGGACTATTAAGGGGGGCTATGAATAGCTCCCCCCAGTAGGGCACGTTATACGCAGACCCCAGTGGGGCGCGGGTTATATCCTTCGCCCCAGTGGGGGGGGGGGGGCATATGTTACCACCCTGTCGCGTTTTTCGCGTGTAAATAAAAAACCGCGGCACGTAGCGCCGCGCCGCTTGGGGTAGCTTTTTGTACATTAATTTTGGACAATATGTGAAATTTTTGACCCCAGGTCATGTCAGGTCAGGTCACCAGGTCAAGTTAACTGATCGAGCCTAAAAAAGTTTGCAATCATGTCCAGCCTGCAGCGTTTGTCAGAAAGGTTTCAAACTTGGTGGATTGCATGATGTTATGGGCGCCTACAATTTGTATATCTCGGATTTTTTTTCATATCGGTGACCTAAGGTCAGGTGAGTGGCGTGACCTTACCATTATAAGGCATTGGAGAAAAATGAAAATGTCTTTAGATCCGTGTGTACGCATAGGAACAGTCCAAATATTTCAGAATCACAATGATTTAGACCACCCGTGACGACCAAGGTGTGTTTTTTGCTGAGAGCCTCTACCTCTAGAAAGGTCATCCGAGGTCATTTGAGGCTACAAACAGATTTTTGCCAATAACTCTCGATTGGAAAGAGATAGGACGCTGGGGATGGCCTCATTGTGTTTGTCTTGTTAAGACGCATCGAATGGTATGCAACATGACCTTTTCCGGTCAGGTCATGACCTTGACCTGAGGTCAAATTTTCAAGTTGACCTTTCAAGGGCATCTTATAGTTCATTCGACGCGTCTCGTCGAGAGGAACACGATACTGGCAATAGAATTGTTGTGGCCTTTTTAAGTCAAAAGTTAGTGTCGAAAAACACATTTCGTAAAAACAGCTATTTTTTTAGTTTTTGCCCTCTGGAGGCTAAACCGTTGACCTGAGGTCATTTTTGATAATGACCTTATCAAAAGAATAGTTCAAAAGCTATCGATTGCTTTTCGCAGCGTTTTTCTAGCTATCATAGTTCCTGAGATAATGGCATGTTTTCTGAAAAATATAATGACAATTCGCCAGTTAATAATGACAGTTTTTACATGGAAGTCTCGAAAAGTGAATTGACAGGCGACAGCATGCATTCACTGTTTTACGTTTTGTGACGAAATAAAAAATGGGTAGGTACTAGGTACCCAACAAGAAGGATAAAAAATCGCGCCGAATCGTCTGTGGCATGAAGCAGGCATGGCTCCACCACAGGGTGGCTGCAGGGGCTCGGATCTCCCCAATAATTTCGCTTCCGTAATGCCACCCAACGTATAAAATCAAAAGTGACGGATTTTGGAAGTCGGACCCCCTATCCTAAGAATGTGGCGAAGGCCCTGACACTTGACAGGGTCAGGTAGGTTCCTACTATGTGTTGTGGGGAATTTATGAGTTTGGCTGTCGCCTCACCGGGTGGCTGTGGAGCTGGCGCCGGATCCTGGCCGGCCACCGTCGTCACCAGCAGGACCAACAGCAGCGCCATGACGCGGACCGACGTCCGAGCAGTACCACAGCGGACCGTGAACCGTCCGACAGCCGACGTCTGACCCGTCCAGCGGCCGTCCGACGTCTGAACTCTCCCACCCCGGGCCGACGTCTGAGTCGTCCGACGGTGCGGGCCGACGCATGGAGCCGTGGTGCGCCGGCGGGACACCGACGTCCGACGACTGAGCTACAACGGTGGCGGACTAGCCTGACCTATCCAAGCGGCAGTAGACTTGTGAGACTTTAAATTCCTATTACCAGGTGTCCCAAAATTAATGTCACACATTTCCAACGTCCATTGCATGAAAATAACAAATATGAGAGGTGAGCTTTTCTTACATATAAATCCCACCTTTTTCCTGATACAGGAAAGCATACGGTCCGGGACGTCAGAGATTAACATGTCCAGCTCTTGAGGAGTGATTTTGGACCAGGCAGATCAAAGGCTCCTGGTCAGCGTGCCTTCAGATTATCCTGGCTGATGGCTCCATTTTGTTCACCTCTTTACCGGACGGTCGCCCTAAGATTTTCTATCGGCGACAGGTCGGGGCTATTCCCCGGCCATTTGTCCTTCTCCCCAGGCGCGTAACCACGAGTCTGAAGTTACTGGGGACCACATGGAGGGCCACGAATATTTTTTTTCCGGATCAGCCTTCGCCCGAGTGTGTGTGTGGGGGGGGGGGGGAGGGGAGGCGTTTTTGGCCACACCTGCCAGTTATTTGTTGCGCGTGTAAGGAAAACCGCGGCGCATACCGATGCGAAACTTGGTATGGCTTATGATACCTCAATTTCGCATCGTGTTTGAAAATTTTGACCCTAAGTCACCTAAGGTCAGGTTACCAGGTCAGTAAAGTAACCATGCCTCTCAAAAACTTTGTGACTCTGTCCTTCCTACAGTTTAAATCCAGAAGTTTGAAACTCGAGCTTTTGCATGAGGATATCAGTATGAACAATTCGTATATCTCAAAGTTTTCACATCGGTGACCTAATGTCAGGTCAATTTTACGACCTCTCCATTATAAGTCATTGGGAGAAAATTGTACTGCTCTTCTTTTGGCCGAAAACACATTCAAACACCGTGACACAGGTAAACATGACACACTGAACCGGAAAATTGCACCTGTGACACCTCTATGCCCCTCAGCTCATCTCACGTCATGAAACCAAGATGACTTTACTACCTACTCCATGAAACATCTCCAACAGTCTTTACTGTTTTTGCCACAACTTTAGATAGAAACATGCTAGAGCGCTGCAAACGCCATGAACGTGTTCAGCTCAACATATACCAATCAAATGACTTGCAACATGACCTTTTCCGTGACCTGGACCAGGGGTCAAATTTTCAAGTTGACCTTTTCAGGTCAACTTATAGTTCATTCGATGCGTCTCGACGAGACAAACGCGATGCCGGTAAAATCAGCGTCATATAAGTTTGGAGTCCCAAAGTTATGATAGTTGATACAAAAACCTTTTCCGCAAAAACGCCAGCCTGGAAGCTAAACCGTTGACCTTAGGTCATATCTGAGAACATAACTCAGAAAGGCCTTTGAAAAAGCTATCGAATGCGCTTTCCCGCAGCACTGCAGCTCTATTGGTTTCTGACTTATGAGCCGATTTGTGAAAAGTTATCAAAATTGGGAACAAAAGTTCGTGAAAATTTTACATTTGGTGACCTCCAGTGACCTTAGCGATGACCTGATCAAAAATGGCATAGGTAATTCTGAAAGGCACTGTAGCGAGCTATCTGCTGCATTTTACCCCGTCTTTCTAGCTTGCTTACTTTCCGAGATAATATGGTGTGGCAAAAAGCCCCCCCCCCCCCCACCACCACCATCATCATGAAGTTGGCTGAGAGGCCCACCCGGGCGCTGGCTAAACAAAACATCCATAGTTTTGTCTTCCGTTGAGTCGTTGACTACATATTACTCTTCACGTCGATTTAGAGACAATATTTCGCTATTTAACCCTCGCCCGCACATGCACGGGTGGAGAATTGTGCTGGACTGGGGGTGCTCGAGCTCTCCCAATTCCACGCCGGCCACGCCGGCTTGGCTTTGGAGCCGCGGCCGGGCGGCGCGGGTCAAGGTCACCGCTAGGCGGCGTCGGATTTGCTGCGCCCGAGCACCCCCAGCTGGTCACAATTCTCCACCTATGCGCACATGGGGGGGGGGTTGCCACCCCCCCTGATTTTTCGTATAGCCGCTCCTCTATCCTTTCTTGATGTCCACTGAAAATTTCAAGTTTCTATGATTTTTGGTTTCGGAGATATGACCTTGTTTTTCAGGTCATGTCATGACCCAAATGGCTAATTCTCAACATCTTGCGTTTGCCATGGGCCTTGTGAGCTTTTGACACCTTGATTTCGGCCTTTTTTGCCAGTCTTGCCTCCCACCTATCATGGAACATGTTGTTCGACGATGTACAGGTGTCAAGGTCAGGGTCAAGGTCAACCTAGGTCATCTAAGATAATTGCGTTTTAGGCAAGCTGAATTTACTTTTTGTGAAGTTTTTGACTGCATTTTTGGTAAAAGCTTCTCAGATCATGATTTCATGTAATATGGACATGAAATGAAGTGTGACAAAGAGGTTCTAGCTGGCTTGGCACCAGAAAACAGCATCGTCATCGGTATATGATAAGCAGCGCACTTGATATCCAACGGTGACCCGAAACAGCAACATTTTTTAGTTTGACCTGACCTGGAAGGTCAATGACTGACCTGAGAAGATAAAACTGGGTATCATTGGATTCGTCTCTTCCCAAAGAATCTTTTTGGTCTTTACCGCTAAGCTCTATCTCCAACAGGAACGAAATGGCGCGGGGGTGGCAACCCCCCCCCCCCCATGTGCGTTCTAGGATGGGAAAATGGCATGTGCGGGCGAGGGTTAAGCAAATTGAGGAAGTCGTCGGTTTTACTGGGGACGGTCCCCAGTAACCCAAAAGCCACTGGGGACCGGTCCCCAGTGTCCCCAGTGGTGGTTACGCGCCTGCTTCTCCCACGGAATGCTGGAAAGTACGATCTGCACCAGTCCTGCGGCTGCGTTCTTCAAGCTCGATGAGCCGGGGCGCCGATCTGTTGAAACATTTTTTCTTTATAAATTTAGCCCGAACTTTTTGATAGGAACGATTCACAAGGACAGAGTCACCGCTAAGCGAAGCTTGTTGCGGTGACCCTGCCCTCTACTACCCTCCGATTGCGCAATTCCAGTTCCACGGCATAATTTAGAGTCCAAAATTTAACGTGCGCACTGCGCGCATAGCCGCGCACGGCTGGTCCCCTCACTGACTTCGTCTGGCTACGGCCTGCCACCAACCGCAGCCATACCTGTCAGGAGCCCCATAAATGTCGAGCGCCCGTCGCGCTTCGAACCCGGTCTGTTATAACCGGGAACGCGTGCTCTCACCACGCGGAGTCCAACGCTCTACCAAATGAGCTACGGGACCGGCAGGCAAGATGGCCCTGGACATTTTCAGCTGAAGTTTTCGGCTGGAGACGTGGCTTGGTTTGCTCCAGCTTTAGAGACAACCTCAGGTACCGATGGATTGTCGACTTGGAGACTTGATATGACTGCTGGCAATCAGCTTACCAGTTTTCTTGTGGATTGACCCGTCTTTAGCACCGCGCTTCGCGATGACGATTTGGGCTACCCGGCTGGCGGAAGCCTTCCTGCCGTGATCCTCCTTCGTTCCTTCCTTCCTCGTTCGTTCTTCTTCCTTCGTGTTCTCAGGCCTCTATCCGCTTCTGTTGCGTGACAACCAGCGCTAAATTGTGCGGCAACTCATGCCTGTGCCTCGGCGACCTAGCCGTGGGTCATGCCGCCGGCAACCATGCCGACTGCCCCGCCCCGCTGTGGGTCGATTTGCTCCGCGGCTTTGCCATCCTGGACACCTGGTAGTGGTTCGCGCGAGCCGGGTACCTACTGCCCCAGAAATGACCCCCATACACTCCTTGACCGGTCAGGGTCACAAAAATTTGACGGTCACGTGACTAGAATGTAACTAATATGGCATGGGAGCCAGACCGGCGAAAATATATTGATATTGCGCCGTAAAAGGCAAAATATAAGTTGTGGAAGTGTTATGAATGACATTAATTTTGGGACACCCTGTATAGATAGACCGTACTAAATATAAGCACCATTTTCTTCTTTGACCCCTTGGTTTATTCCTCAATCGGTTGAATGTAAAATGGATGACAGAGCTAAAAATGTCGCCAAAGCAAGGCAAAGGTGGGTCGAATTGGCCTGCTAAGGTACAATGTTTTTCGTTTTTGCGTAGGTACGGTTCTCCAGTAAAAGTCTTGTTGGTTTTGCTTTTTTGGATATATTTGGTCCTATATAATGTTCAAATGCATAAGTATGAACCCGAATTGTGTGTACTCGTATGCACATTTACCACTAGACTGTAAAATTGCATCCTTGTATGCCAAATACTTTCCGAGATATTCACCAAAAACCTCATTTTCTGCCGTTTGGGGTATTCTGGCCGCAATCTGCCTGGGATCGCCTATGACATAAGTACCTAGAGCCATCTAACGAGAGGAACGCGGAAACACAGAATCATGAATGAATCGAGCGCGTAGTAAACGGTGTATGAAAGGGAGACTCAGCAGAGGCTATCCGGGTGGCCGGCGGGCGGCGCGCCCTTAGGCATCGGCTGACCCTTCGGACCGCGTGGAGTCAGAGGTCGCGCTCGGGAAGTCTCGGCTCTGGGTTATAGCGCTGTGCAGTCATGAAGGGAGGATAGGATAGCGCTAGCCCGGCTGACTACTGTTAACGCCAGACCCCTTGAGACCCTAATTTTTCGCGATTACTTTTAAATGCGTGAAGGAATTTCAACCAAGCTCAGGACATGGCCGTTTCAAGACAGGCCGAAACTTTTACAATTTAGATATTTTATCGCCATTTCAATATTTCAGGCACTTGTCATTGACTCGTAATGTTAACTGTTTTTCCATCCTGGATAGAGGCTTTCTACGTCATATGACATTAGGCTCCGCCCACGACTGCGGCATTGACCCGTGCCCATCAGCGACCTCTGTACAAACGACACCCCTGCCATCTGTGAAGGACTATGAATTTCGCTGACGCTTCACG